AAAGTTGCAAGAAAAAAGGACGTTTTCATTTAGAATGAAGTTTTGTACGATGTGTTGGAAGCGGATTCTGCTCATCAAGAGCCATCAGTTGTTATCGGTCTGTTACAATGATCGTCTTTTCTATTGAAGGCAAAATTTGTTCCTGTTGGGAGAGGTATTGATAGCGCGATTCTCAGATTGCGCACCTACGATTAATGACTGAGCTGATTGTAATGAAGGTCGTAGAAATATTTTTCCCTTTTTTTTAAATCGGATAACGATTCTTGTAGTCACTGATTTTTTTTTCGAGCTTACTATTGTCTATTTATGAAACGTAAAAAAACGTTAGTATAATAATATAAGTTAATATAAAATTGTATTATTTAGTATTTGCAAAGACAAAGTAATAGTTGATTAATGAAAATATGAATTAATTAGGTAAGACAGGAATTAACCTCAACTTAATTTGGATATATTTCCGAAAGCAAGTAATCTCTAATTCTTTTAAATAAAAGATAAAAAAAATAACAAAACATAACATATGTTAGCTTAAGATGTATACTTTAATAAAAACCTACCCATTTTTCTCATATTCACATTTTATTATTAAAATAGCAATATATTACTGTAACGTACTACAAGATGACATAAAGTATTTGACTTGTGTGTCAGTGAAAAGAAAGAAAATATAGAATTTACAAAATTCGTCCGCCATATTGGATTCACGATTTTGAATTTTGAAAGTCTGACCTCAGATTTGTAATCAGCGACCCCAAAAATCCCTGAGTAACAATTTTGAAGTCAAATTGGTCATTTTTCAAAAATTCGTCCGCCATATTGGATCCGTCATTTTGAATTTTAAAAATATGGTTTGAAATTCATAATCAGCGACCCAAAAAATCCCCGAGTTACAAGTTTGAAGTGAATCTAATCAATTTTTGAAAAAGTCGTCTGTCATATTGAATCCGCCATTTTGAATTTTTGAAATTTGACTTCAGTTTTGTTATCAACGACCTTAATACCCATATATTGTAAGTTTCATAAAAATCCTTTTTCAAGATTTCGTACATCCTACTATGAATTTACAAACAAAAATCTACTTTAGTCGCCATATTGAAATAAAATTCCTTAAATACTTTTACCTTGAAGCTTGACTATTATTGACACGATAAATATATAGGAATCAAAAATATTCCTTCACGGTAAAGTGCTTAAAAAAATTTATAAATCAAAAAGAAGACTAAAAAATAGTGTTTTACCTTAAAATACCGCTTGCAATTTATTTATTGGACATTGCAAAATTTTTTGGACGACGGGATTTGGGCAAACTTCCATATTAATTTCCCATATTTCATATTAAGTTCCCTTACAATGGAACCAATCTTGGGCGAAAATTTAATATAATGTTAATCCATAGTTTTTTGATATTTTAAATTTTTGTTAGTTTTCTTTGCATTAACAAAATTTTAAAGAAAAATTAATAACACAACAACCATTTGCAATAAATTAATGAAACATATACTGATTATCCAAAAATTGTCCCTTTTTTTAATGAATATAATTGCAAAATTTGAAACCAAACAATTTTATATTATTAATAACATTTTTATAAACAATTAACATTTAAATTGTTTAAACAAATTAATTGTTTTTAAATTTTATCAGTATATTCTTAAGAAAAAGACTATTATTGTGTATAAAATCATACGAATTCCGTGTCGGAAATTGAAAAAATGAAAAACCTAATTGTTAATATATTAACAAAATTGTTATAAACAAATTATATAAACAAATTGTTTATTTTGACAATATTTTTAATGAACTTTTATGAAACATGTTACTCATCAGAAGGAGTTTGTGGTCGCTGATCACGAATTCGATGTTACTTTTTCAAAATTCAAAAGGGCAAATCGAATATAGTAGACGAGGAATTTAAAAATTGCTTGGATTTTCTTGAATTCAATCAACTTTTAAGAAACTCGTTTCCCATATTAGAAGCAAAAACTTAGAAGTAACATGTTTCAAGAAAATTTAAGCTATTTTTAAATTATTATTTAAATTATTATTATTATTATTATTATTATTTAAATTATTTTCCTTCATATTGGATCCGCCATTTTGAATTTTGAAAAACTAACATCGAATTCGTGAATGATGACCCCAGAGTATCATATGGGTGTATGTACCAGGAAGTACATTCCCTGAATGACTTCGGATATGGAACAGTTTGTCAGCCATGACGATACGGTCATTGAAATGACCGTGATGAAAGAATTTGTGCTCGTCACGTGTTATGATACAAAGTGTATTTGCCAGAAATTTTTTTTAGAAAAATGTTTTTATTTACAATTTTGATGGCCAGTTATTTGACGGTTCCGTGAAACAGTTAATTGTTATATGATTTTTACAAACAATAATTTAGATAATACAAAAAAAAAACCGAGAATTTATGACTAATAATAATCGAATATGCGATTCTCCTTCTAATATTTGTTTTTAAATTAATAATTTACTAAGAAAATTAATTAATTACCTTTAATTCGAAGTTTTCTAGAATCTTCTAAATATTTCTAGGGAAGGTTTCTAAAGTTTTATTGTCCCAAGTTTCACCATCAATATTTCTATAGGTGTGAACATTTAAGCAACTACACAAACTTTTCAGAACATTGCAATTAAATATTCCTAACGTAGAGAACCCATATTAAGTTTCAGGAAAGTTTCATTGTTGTGTGAAAATATTATAAAATAACAAAATAATTTTGTAGAAATACGTGAAATATGGTTACCTACTGTAAAAAATATACTAGACTTAATGTATACTGTTCATATATATCTAGATTGATAACTACTCAAAATCGTGTAGTAAAGTGAAACATGTTTTTGTGTTATAAAAATGAAAACATATTTTCTCCACATGGCAGCAGCAATAAAAAATGAAGAATAAGTGATTTGACTAATAATAAACGGATTTAGATTGGAAGGGTTTCTTTGTTTCGGTTTAACTGCGTTGTAGAACAATAAATGTTTTAAGCGAAATCATGCTACCTCCATGATAAGGTTTGGTCCATCGTTAAATCAAGATCCTCAACTGTCTCTTTGTAGACTATGAGAATCTCTCCTCCTGAAAGAGAAGGAAAACCCAACCATGAATCAATAAAACACATAGCACACAATTTGTTGGTCGTTCAAACAAATGTTAAATCTCTCGAGTAATAGAGTTGGTAGATTGACTGGAGATCTTTCATTCCCGAGTAGAAAGCAATAATAATGTATTGCGACCAGAAAAAACGCGCTTCTTGTTTTTTTCTTATTTTTGAACAGTTCGATGCATTTGTTATCGCTCTCATGTCGCTTTAATTTGTAATACAACTTGTTACATAATACATTGTGCTACACATATATATATATATATATATATGTCCACTAAGAAGACTGTTTACAACTGAAAAATCGATTTTCACTATTTTAGGGATTTTAATATGTAGAAAGGTTGCTAAGTTTTAAGCAAATCCTATGAATTTAAAAATGTCCGTCATATTAGATCCGCCATTTTGAATTTTGAAAATCTGATATCAGACTCGTAATCAGCGACCCAGAAATCCCCCGTGTAACAAGTTCAAAGACATAGCAACGCGCAAGCGCATCGCTATCGACTTGTTTACTTTCAGAGAATTTTTTCTAAAAAATTTATTTTGATCTAAATCACTCACTTTACTACACTCTTAAGGACGGGATCATACATAAACATGCAATTTAATGTTATAATATAAACTAATGATTACCTTATTTGAATATAGATTATATTACATCACTATTTTAATAAAGAGTTTTAACAGATTTAGAAAAATTTAGGAAATCTGACTATTTCTTTACGTGATTTCATATTCATATGTAACTTCTATAAAAAAAAGTTCGCGTTTAATTTGTGGATGAAACCACTAATGTAAGCCAAATATTATGAACTTCTGAGACACTACACAAAGCCATTTTCTACTTACCCACAGCTACTCGTCAACAATTGATAGATGAAAGATCCTCGTCAGGTCAATCAAGAAATCAATACAATTTATCAATTTATTTCATTGTAATACCAAAATTTTTCGAACTTGATTTTTTGATGTATCTTTACGTTTTTCGACCTCAGAAATCCAAAAATTACATTTTTAAAAAATGTCGTTCCGTATGTTTGTGTATATATATACACTACATTTTCTTAAATATCTCGAATACTATAAGAGCTAGGGATATTTTTTTTTAATTGTAGATCTCACTGGCGGACAAATAATGAGAGTACTTTGAGCAATATTAATAAAGATCCATAACTTTAAAAAATTTATTGACGTCAATAGATATTTATCTCTAGTTTTGTAGAGTTTTTAGGACGCATCTTTTGACCTATTAGCGAATATCCTACTGTTATTTTATCCAGAGTTATTAACATTTTGAAATTGAAAAATTTTGATAAACCTGCCTTTTTTGCCTTATATATTAAAAAATATTTATGTATCTTTAAAAGTATTATGAACAACTTGGAGAATATTTAAAAACGAATCAATTGACCTATTATTGAACCTTTTATTGTGAAATATTACGAAGTTATTGATGTTAAAAAACTATCTCTGCAAATACAACTTAACACCTTCTTAAAATTATTATAATACTAAATAAGTTACCCTAAAAATACACGTTATCATTTACTATTTAAAGCAAGGCCTTATACAATTGAATCAAGAAGGTTTAGGGTTATGGTCCGAACAAGCTGGTTAATCAATTAATAGACAATTTTTCATAAACACAAAAAGTTCATACTTCAACTTGGCAGCGGTTATTTATACATTTATATTGAGAAAAATTAATAAATTCGATCTTGATGAAAATTATACATTTTTAAATTAAATTATGTTAGAGAGATGGAGTTGAATGTCCAAAAATATGTATTACATACTTTTTGGATGACCCTTTTTACAATCTTAACAACATTCTAATTATAAATATAAATATATTATCTTTTTGTGTTTCAGCTCTTACACAACATCCAATGTTTGCTGAGCCAATTCCCAATGTAACCGTACCACTTGGAAGGGATGTCAGTCTACCATGTATTATTGAAAATTTAGGAACACATAAGGTACGTTAATTAACTACGTCGACGATTTTCCGAAAAGAATGAGGCTTTTAAGATGTATGAAAAATTGTTCATAAAAAAGTCGGGAATTATTTCCGGAGTCTAGGATACAACGTTAAAATTCTTAGGTATACAAGACCTTAAATTATTAATTAAAGAATATTCAAAAAAAAGTCAATAACTCTACATGAAAAGCTTAATAATTTAGTAGCTTTTTTTCATTACTTACTTTGTCATAAATGTCGATTACAAAGTAGCAGGAAATTTTTTTATTGACTCAGTAATAATTTATTTTTTTTATTGATTTTTAAACTAAAATTCTTTCAGTGTCGATGCTTACTTATTAAATTTTTACGTAATAGACAAATAACACAGCACCACAGAAAAGTATCCTACGCGACAGACCAGATTATCCAACCCCCCAAGTATTTTCGTGCACTGAACACGAATCTAAGGTTAAATTTACTCCACCACGTCGGGATTTCTGTCTAACTTCAAAAAACTTGTAAAATTCTACGTCGCATAAAATTTTTTTAAAGATTGCTAAATTTAAATGAAATTTGTAACTTGAGGTTTTTAGAAGCATATTTGAGGCATTTCATATGACAAGATGAATGATACGGATTTTACACAAAGTTCAGTAAACTGTAGTGATACAAGTGCTAAATATGTGTACAAATTTTGAATTTAAATTTTTTAAATATTTTTGCAGATAAATAATAAATAAATAAAAAAATTTTAGAAATATTTTTTTGATTTAATTATTATTATTTTGATTTTTTGATTTCGAGACATTAATTAATTAATTAAAATTAATAAAAAATTAAATATTTTACGAAGAAATAAAGTTAGAATAATTTTAAATAACCATTCCAATCGTTATCGATTAAATTCAATTAGTTCAATATAAACTATTTCGAATGAACGAACATTAAATTAATAATTAAAATAGAAGTTATTTAAATAATTAATAGTATATAAAGAAATAAAGATAAACTGTCAAGTCTTTTTTTATTTAGAAAATCATCAAATTCTGCGTCAAACAAGAGATTATTAAAAATTAATTATAAAGTGTTATTTAGAGAGACTGAAAAATACCATGCCAACTATGTGGCAGCCTCGGCTATACTGAGAAAAATGTTTAGTCAGAGCAACCAAAATTTGGTTGGACCAACAAAAAAATTTTGTTGGTATTTAAGCAACTAAACTATTTGGTTGAGTGTTTTTTGTTGGCATAACAAAAATGTTTGGTTAGCTCAACCAAATTTTTTTTGTTAGGTCAACAAAAATGTTTGGTTGATCAAACAAACAGTTTTTTTTTCTAAAATTAAAAATTTTATTCTACCTTATTTCTTTTCTTTTTATCTTTTTTATTTATTTCATTATTTATTTATTATCAATTTAACATTAAATTTATATTTATCCAATTGAAATATTTGTGGACTTTGAAAACTCTCATCTCCGCCTGGGATCGAACCTCTGTTTTAAAACTGAAGGTCGGGAGCTCTGATCACTGGACTACGAATCCTTGTGAGAGATTTAAACTAACTGTTCTCTTAAGCTATGAGCTGAGAGTGAATCAAATTATTTGGTTGTCGCAACCAAATTTTGGTTAGGACAACAAACAATCATTTGGTTTTTTAGACCAAACTATTTTGTTGTGTTAACCAAATTATTTTGTTGTCGAAACCAAATTTTGGTTGAAATTTAAAAATGTTCAACCAAATAATTTTGTTGGCCTAACCAAATGTTAGGTTGAGATAACTCTGCGACTTTGTTTCAGCCAACCAAAATTTGGTTACAAGAACCAAAATTGTCTAATCAAACAATTTTGTTGCAATCACTAAATTTTTTTTCTCAGTGTAAGTTTTACCCGCGGGTCAACGATAGGCAATTTAATACTGTTTTAAAAAACGTTAGTTGAAAAAAAATCTAGAAGCTTTTTAAAAATTTATTCGAAATTTTTAATTATAGAAATCTGACTTTAGATACGTAATCAGTGACCGTCCCCTACTTTTTTGTGGCGTTGTGTAATTATATACTTTAGCAAAATATTTAATTAACTTTTTAATTATTAATTTTTTAATAATAATAATAATTTTTTAATATCATTTACATTATTGAAAGAAATAGATTTTTGCAGGTTGCATGGATTCACGTAGATCGTCAAATGCTTGTTACTATCCATAAACATGTAGTAGCAAAAATACCGAGGTTTAGTGTTACAAATGACAATCACAGAAGGTGGCTTTTAAACATTCGCAGTGTGGAGCAGCAGGATAGAGGTTACTACATGTGCCAAATTAACACAAATCCGATGATAAGTCAAGTTGGATATTTACAAGTAGTAGGTTAGTGGATAACATTATAACGTTAAATATTAAATAAATCAAATCAACTTAATTTCCCCTTTTAATTTGTTATAAAAAGACAACCCAAACATGAATTATGTTAGATGCCAGTCAATTTTTGTAAACGAATTGACAAACCGAAAACGACAGCAACTTTTTCCTAAAATACTTCCCAAAAATTCTCATCAATAAATTTTTATAATTCTGAAAGGTGATTCCGTCAAAACCAGTCGAAAAGGAAAACGACCTTCTGAGACACGACACAAAACCAAATTTTTCACTTATCCACAGCTATTCGTCAACAATTGATAGATGAAGTATCCACGTCGGGTTAATCAATATAGCAATACAATTATTTCTTTAATTTTCCTTTATTTTTTTTCCCGCAGCTTTAACAAAAATCATAGTAAGGTTTCTCTTGGTCACTCGACCAATAATCTTTATAAACTCCCAAATATCTCAAACAAAAAATCCAAAACAAACAAAAAAAACTTTCCATTCATTCCATGTCAAAACTTTTTTTCTTCCGTCACTCAAGTCAGACTCCCTTTCTCATTTCCAACTTCTTTTTCCCTTGTCAAAATTGCTCTTTCCAATATCTGAAAATAAAATTCGTTAATAGGAAGTCAACAATTTCTAGGGGGGTAAGTATTTCTTAAGGTCTGTGACATGAACTCTGGGGATGCTACGACTGTTGTTGGAGAGTAATACAAAAACCGATGGTGATAACTGTTCTATAATCTCATAAGGTCCCTCGTATATTGGTGCAAGTTTTGTCTGAAAATTACGGGTTCTCCTTTACAGTTTGTGTGTCTTGCGTAATACTGTATCTCCTACTTTGAAAAGCACGTCAATACTGTTTCGATTATTATAATTGGACTGCCTGTCACGCTCCTTGTCAATAAACCTCTTCACCAAGTCACGCAACTCGTCTAAACGCTTCACTCTGTCAACCCACTCTTCCGGTTTTATCCGGACTACCTTGTCCTTAGCCTCAACCTCTTGTCGCAAACTTTAAACTAACCAGGGATTCCTACCATAATTAAATATGCGGGTTGAGATTTGGTTGTCGCTTGGGTCGCCGTGTTCATAGCATGTTGAAATTCGTGAACATGGAGATACTAGTCACGATGGTCACTCCCAATAAACGTCGAAATCATAGTTTTCAAGGCCTGGTTATTCCTTTCCTTCGGATTAGCTTGAGGATGGTAGAGAGGAGTAGTAATATGCATCACTCCACATTTCTCAAGTGCATCCTTGAGACACTTATGGTCAAACTCCTTTACATTGTCAGTGAACAAAAAGTTTGGTGTATCCCATCGGAAAAGTATCAACTCCTTGAATGCCCCAGTCTCGTACTTCCAGTCAGCTGATTTTAAAAGTTTCAACTCAACCCATCTCGAGAATAAATCTTGAGAAACCACAAGATTTCTACATCTACTCTTACTAGGTGGGAATTCTATCGTGTTAGCCGCCACGACTGACCAAGGTCGTTCCACGATTCTCTGTCCCATCAATCCTAAGGTACCAGACCAGTTACCAGGTACCAGACCAGGTACCAGTTCATGTAGAACCCTGTCTCAGTACTCCTCAGATACCACCAACTTCCAGTTATCTTTGTTACCATCAATTGGAAGAAGTTAGGGGTTATTTCTATAATAATACAAGAAATCATAGTCAATCATCCAGCCAGGGAAACGTGATGAAAATTTACTTACCATTTCTCTGTTGTTCAAGTACCTTTTCATACTGGCGCAAATTCTTCTCCAACTTGTAGAGAGACTCCATTCCCGACGCATACACCTATCGACGATAAGCTGGGGTGAGACCTTCATAGGCAATTTTAACTTGCTGTTCCGTTGACAATGGTCTTTTTAGATGTCCCATTATTAATCGTAGGCTTGCCAAATAAGCTGAAATCTTCTCACCCTTTCCCTGAGTTTTACGCTTCAACTCGTCAGCTACTTCCTCATCGTCGATCGTTGTCAAATATTCGCGTTTAAACGCCCGCTTGAATGGTTTCCATGACCTCAGTTCATGGCGTAAGGTTCGGAACCAATGACTCGCGTTTTGTCGAAACATACTAGAAACTACTTGAAGAAGTTCTTCATCATTGAACAATTTGCATAGTCGACAATCTTCCATCCTTTCTAGGAATTCTTCTGTGTCGTCGCAATCATTACCGGAAAATTTAATGTCCCAGTTTTTAAGGATTTTAATAACCTTCGAACGCCTCTCGGCTTCTCGAAAGTCACGTCTTGTCGATAGTAAGTTGCTGATATCTGATTCCGTGTCATTAGTTGTCTCGTCAAAAAGTGTCCTCCTAGCATTCGTTTTCTTTTTATTTTTACTAGAACGTGCTCTGTCAGTTTTCCTATATGGACGTCGTTCCCTCTCACTCAATACCGACCTCTTGTCATACTCCGAACGTTCTCCCAAATCATTATTTAACTCACTATCTCTACCATATTCATTTGGAAATGTTATTCTTAAATGAATTCTAAATAACCTTTCTCTTAGTACTTGTGCAGTACCACTAATGCAATATTGAGGTAGTAACAATATTGTTACAACTTGCCCTTTTGTCATGCTTAGAATCATATTCCAAATGACTCTCGGCTGTTTCAATAACATCAGGTTGTGCATTCTCTCTACGTACGAATTTACTTTATCTAGTGAGAGCTCCATTGTGAATCACGAAAAATTTTAAACATTTAAATACAAGGAGAATCAAATTCAATCGTCAAAAAACAAATTTGAAATTTTTTTTAGAAATTGTCGTCAAGTCGTGCTACTCCATATGGAGCAAAAAAGTGGAACTTTTACTCATAAGAGAAGATTTATGGGAAGTTGTGGTAGAACCAGCGTATACACCGGAATATCAGTCTTTGGCCGAAGAGATTATCGCGCACGTGCCACTATTGGATTTCTTGTTGAAGACAATCAATTAATACACAAAGCGGATGCCAAAACGTCCAAAAAAGAAGGAAAAATTCAAACGTCAACACAGGTCTTATCTTTTAAGGTCGTTAGCTGAAGCAATAGATAAAGGTGAAGATTTTGTAAATCATTTGAAGAAAAAAAGTTGGAAAAAAGTTATGTTTTAGGCTGCTTAATCTTGGGAGAAAGTGACAGATGTAACTTTAAAAAGGTCATGTAGCTAATTAATTGACTTTTCTAATGAAGAAGACTTATTACTTAAGGAAGAACTAAGTGTCACTTTATTGAAACTGATACATAGAGTGCTTTCAATTGAAGAAATAACCGACAACGATTTGAAGGAATCAGTTCAAGGAGACAACGTGGAATTGTATTACACTGATGGTATTACTAATTAACATCAAGTACATGTCTTCGTAGCAATGTGGTGAATCATGTAACATTGTTATCAAAAAAATCAATCTCATTCAAAAGTCGATTAGCTTTCCTACAAATTCTATTAATTATTAAATGATATTCATAATTGGTTCTATGAAATGATTCAAAAAACACTGAATAATTTCTAGATACTCTAGTTGCAACATTGAAGTTAATCATTGCCAATAATGTTGGGCAATTTATTAAACTGTTTAAGAGTTTATATAAAAAAATTAAATCAGCAAACAAAAATCTGGATGTCATCAAAGGAATGTTCAAAAGAACTCGTAAGTTGCTGTAGTCATAAGTGTATCTGTAAAAAGGTAAATGAAGTTGTCTTGATGCAAAACGCAAGAATCTGTTTTGCACTCGTTCAATTCTAACTTTATTGATTGTATAGAAATGTACCCAAATTAGAGAGGCGTACTCCAATATGGTCTAACAAGAGAAAAATATAAAATTTTAACTGTATTTATATTGTGAAAAATTGATGCACACCTCATGACAAATCCCAATGATCTTAGTGCTTTAGAAATTATCCCTGCAATGTGATCGTTGAAAGATAGGCCATTGCATAAAATTACTCCCAAGTCCCGCATGGGTTACTCTAGGTAACTTATCATGTCCAACAGAATAGCAATTTAAATAGGTGATTTTCTTGGAAAAAGATATAACACAACTTTTATTAATATTTATACACTAAGAGACCTTTTGCACCGCATCAGAACTACGTGTGTGACTGCAGCGCCACTATAGGTTTTGGTGCGCTGCATTCTAAATTTTGTATCGTGACTGCCCAAAAATGAAAATGAACCTTTCGACCGTCAATTATTTGGACAGCTACGCTCCAAAAATTGTAGGGCTGCAGACCAAAAACGTAGTTTCATAGCTGACCGTGTCGCTGCGCGATTAATAAGAAAGGGAAATTTAAAAGGTAGAAGGGTTTTCCCACTACTCGGAAGGTGTGGCTAAACTGACAAATTTAAATCAGAATGATTTTAGAACTAAACGACGTATAGCGGTATTTTCGCATTAAATTTTATATTATATAATTATATTGTTAATAAAGAAAATAAACTGTGGAGTGACATTTTCTAAATAAACATTGATAGACTTATAAATTATTGAAGTGTTTTCTTGTTTTGTTTTATTCTACTAACCATTTATCCTCTTCACACGTAAAGAGAATTCTATTAAATAATTTTTAAAGACTTTCACGTGTCGACATGGTCCTTCGAGCTGGATATTTTGTACTATTTTAAGTGTATTGAACTGTGTTGCTAAGGTTTGATAATTATCAAGTTTATCGTGAAGTGGATTATAGGGTTTGGTGCTGAAAAACTAGAATATTGTACAAGCCGCTGTACATATCATTCTCAAAATATAACGAATATTTGAAATTTTATCATTAATTATGGTGTCGTTGGTGTCTCACTTATCTTCAGAGGTTTCAAAAGTTTGATTTATCATCAAATTTGTTAATTTTGGTCCCATCTCATTATTGAGATTGAGAATTATTCTACTTTGGTGTCAACTTTGGAAAATTTTCAACTACGATTACGAGATTCCAACGGCAATCAACAATCTTCAAATTCAGCAACAATAACTGACAAACAATAGCAGCTTTCATCAAAGGTCATCAA